AGCAAATATTATTATTATTATTATTATTATTATTATTATGATTATTATTATTATTATTATTATGATTATTATTATTATTAAATAATTGCAATACATCTTAGGAACCTCAGCTTTTCTCACACTGGCCAGTGCTGTACAGTATTACTACTTAAACAGGATTGTAAAATTTTAAGTAGCTTTTATTGTCACATTTCGTAATGAAAGACCTTAAACCAGAAAATAAATGCAAGTTATAATTCAGTAAGCCTCTCAGTGTATGGCTTTCTCCTGCCATGTTTGGAATGTTTGCCCCTTCAATATTAAATGAATAATAAATACTAGATTTTTGTGTTTTTTTCCAGATGAAACAAAGTGTTTTTATGAAGTTAATATCAATTAAATTATGGTCTTATATTACTTTTTAGATCAGTCACGCAAACTGCAGCCCATTCTGGATGTCACTAATAGGTGTCTATTGAAAAACATACTCTATGATGTAGGAAACGCTTGGCTAATGGAGCGTTCAGTTTATTTATCCTGTATTTCAACTGTGTGTTAAATATTTTCTTTTTTCAATGGCTCTGAGCCTGTGTAATATTCTCTTTACAGCGATGGGATGTTTTTTCCTCTTCTGTCTTTGCTGGAACGAAGATCAGCCCTGAAGATCTGGTGCAGACTTTGAAAGTGGATGACACGTGTAACTTGGTTTCCTCCCAGAAAGGTACATGCATAGTCTTATAAGTATTACATTTTGAAGTTTTTCATTTTAACTTTTCTGATGGGCGCTGTATGAACATGCTCTGCTACCATGCAGCTCAAAGTAACTCCATACACTTGACTATATATCTGTGACTAGTTTGAATGGAAAACAGTGAAATTTACCCCAGAATGAACACTTTGGTGTAAATCTTGCAAAACGTCTACAGAATAGGAAATGTTGTTGCTCTAACAGTGTTCTGCAATATGATTATGAAACTCTCCCTTACAAGGAGTCTTTCATTTCACTAGTTTTACAAAAGATGTTATTGATCTTCTATGTTAGAAACCTTTACTTAAATTCTGATTGTACTACTTTATATCCTTTGATGCTGGACCTCATACTTCGCTACTGGCAAGGCACAAAAAAATATTTTAGTTATTAAGTGTTTTCATGCATAAGTCTCAAAGGGCTTAACAAAGCAATAGATTAGCTGGTCTTATCTATATTAATTTGACTTTTTATTGTAGAAATAAGGAGTGTTGAATATTTTTTTCTAAATGAAAATTGGGAAATCAGCCTGTTTTGCTGTTTGTATAGCATTGTACATCTGTAAGGACTCCTTCATTGTGTTTGTGCTAGGTGTAAATGTGCAGTTACTTTTAATATGTGCAATTGTGCCATTAATTTAAGGACTCTTGTGATTATTTGAAATGTTGAATGGAGCTACAGTCTCAACAGTAGTTGTAAAAAGGCAATAACATTTGTCGATTATCTCATCAATAGTGAAAGTATAGAGGGTTTTATGGACCAGAAATCTGTTTCAGAAAATCTTTTTGTTGGAAAATGAATTGCATGTGTTGTAAGGAAGACCCAGACTGAACTATGTCTGTTTCTTAAGTATTAAGGTAGGTTCACTTTCTTCTTCTTTTGTTTAGCCTACATTTTCTTTGGGGTGACAGCACATGTTCATTGCCGGTTTTTAGTGCATTGACAATGTGAAATAATGTTTGTTCTGTACCATATTAAGTGTGAAACTGGTCCAGAGATCCACTGAAACCATTACTTAAATCTGTTGTTGATGGGGAGGGGCAACCCAAGAGAATATCATTTGTAGTGAGTTACTTTTTTAAATTTCTTAACTTGAGGATGTGAATTAAATTTAAGTTTGAATTAAGTTGTTGTGGCTGGTAAACTGCAGTTTTACACACTGATGATTATGTGACAAATGGCTTTACAGTAAAGTAAATATAAACTATTGATATCAACTACTGATTATCTTACTTTTATTCATCAAATGACTTGACCACATACCTTTTAATTTAGTTACTTATTTAGGATACATAATTAAGAGTTCTGTAGAAATATTTAGTTCTTCAGGATTTCTGTGAAATAGTTATATAGCTTGTTCAGTATTTTGTGTGGGTCTAAGTGTGTCATTTAAAGAGATACACTAGAAATCTCCTAATCATGATGGAATGAAACAAAGTCTATGTATTTTAGCACCTGTGAAGGACACACTGGAAAGTGGAGCTCAACAGTCCTTCATCTGTCAGATATTAAAGGCTGCTCTCATTTACGATGCCGGTGTGGGAACTCTTCGGTTGTTTCAGTTGCAATTAAACGTAAAGGGTTTGTACTATATGTCACATGATTCAGCCAGCATAAGCTTTGCTCAAAAAGTTGGCACATCCGTCCTTGTGATTATTAATCACTGGGCTCATTTTACAGATGAGGATACAGGTGCAACAGTGGATGTTTTAAAGTTTAGTGAACAAATCTCTGCTGTCAATATTTAATCATGAACTGAAGGCAGATGTCAACATCTAAAGAAGCCTCAGTGTTCTTTAGCTTACTGTTACCTAAGAAAAGGGATGTTAACACCGTAGTCTAATTGCATGTCTTAAGTGAAGGAAAGTTTTCAAAAAGGGGTGGACAGCTGTGGTCCTGGTTTTATGGGTCACCTTTAAATAATCAATTTTGAGATACTGAGTAACAGTTTCGTTTTGCAGGTAATTTCTTCTCTTAAGAAAATTTGTGCTAATGAAGATACCCATACAATGTAGCTCTCAAGAAACACATGTGGCAGTTCTTTAGGTTAGGTTAATTAACTTTCTAAATTAATGAAATCATACATGGTTCAATAGTGGCTCTTCAGGACCAAGGCTGGCCAATTCTGTTTAAAAAACCCAAGCAGTGACTGTCAGGGGTCCCAACCTTACAGCAGCCCATTCCCGTTTTTCTAAAGTTATTGAGTGTGATAGACAGGAGAGAGAGAAACATGGAGGCAGAGAGGGAACTGAGGGAATGTACCAGATCACCAATCATATTTACACCATACGCACACTGAATTGTTCAATAAAAAGTTGCAAATCATGGATGACTTCAAGCCAAAAACTAAAAGCAGGAAATACCGTCCTTTCTTTTAACTCTGGGTTTGGTGTTAAAGGAAATCCATGTCTGATAAGGTGCTTAAACTGACTCTCAGATGTAGGATATGTGATTTTTTCCATTGTGTGGTTAGAATTTGTTTTGAAAAAGGAAATAGTATAACTGAATGTCCTTTGTGGTTATATTTAATTTCCTTTAGAAACATAGGAATATTTTGTGTATGTGAATGAGCTATGATATAGTAAAAGAATGATTACTAATTGAGTAGAAGATGCCCTTATCTAGGGTAACTTGTACTGCCACGAAGTTTTACATTAAGTGTAAACACATATTACAAGCAAGAATAAAAAGTAAAATGAATACAAATATAATATAATTGCAGTAAGGCAGGCAAAAATAATGAAAGTATCAAGTTAGTGCTGTGTAAAAAAAACTTAATAACATGGATACAAAGCAGTAGTGCATTTGCAGTGTGTATAGTGAGTTAGTATATCAACACATCTTTTTTTATTAATCTGACAGCTAGTAGAGTAGCAACAGACTTTTTTTTTTAGTTTAATATAATCTTATCATTGCAACATTAATTCTTAACGTTTTACACAAGCTCTAGGTTTGTACTTTTGTAACGTAATCCAGTCTTGATAACACGTCATGATGGAACATGATTGATAAAAGTGTGAGGAGCTATTGCTTTACTGTTTTACAGAAACTGTGAACTTTTTCTGTGTATTTGGCATATATTTTGATTTCGGTTTCTCTGTTGCACTTGTCACTGACATTAAAGTCCTTAAATGGACCATGTAAGACATGACTTACACTTGGGTTTTTTTAATTGGAAAGAAGCTTTTGTCCTCATTTCAAGTTTTCCATCCTGTTTTATTCAAAGTTTTTTGGGAACTGTTGTTACTTTCAGCAGCTTTGTGGCAGTGTTTAATACCATTTACTATAATACTGTATGTTTCTGAAAGGCTTAGTGGATTTATTGACTTCTCAAATGAAGAGACACTCATGTAATCCCATAATAGATTTGAATATAAGTTTACACAAATTAACCTCGCAAACACACCACAAAAAAGAAAAAATACAATTAACCAACAAATCATATTTTTAATTCAAGTGGTGTGTACAGTTAAGGAAAATCTATACTATGTGAATTATAGCCTTTCTTCTGTTTTTAGTATAGAATTGTTACTTTACTATCATGCCTCATGAGGTAATTATTTGTCTTTACTGTCCAATTAAAATTAAAAATAAAAATGAAGTGTTAGAGTGTATAGACTAGTCTGAAAAAAACTGCTTACTGAATCTTTCTTAATTTAATCATGTTGGATTTGTTCACTTTAAGAGTATTGAAATGACTAAAGAGTTGTCTGACTAAAAGTATTGTGGTGACACAGCCTAGTCCATTTGATTTTTAGAATGTTTCTCAATGTTTCAATCTGAGACAGCCTTTTATTGTGCAATATAAAAAAAATGGATAATCCTAAAAAATACTTATAAAAATGTTTTCATTTATAGAACTAGCAGCGATTCTTGCTACACTTGAGACAGCCCTGTATGTAACTATTTCAGCACATACTTTAAGTGTGCTACCACTCTGTAAATATTTTTATAATATCTTAATCTCAGGGAAAGTCTTAATGCAACCAAAGTTTTTGTGGTTTGTGGCCATGTTTTATTGTGTAATTATTTTCATGTGTCTCTGAGTTAATTCTTTAATATTAGTATACTTCTTGTTTTTAAGCTGTTGACCTAGGGCTTTAACTTAGAATTAGGCAAAGAAATTAGTTTAATCACATCACAATGACTTTGTTTGTTGTTGGTGTCAGTTCTGTACTTAAAGCCTTATTGAAAAAGCCTTATCAAAAAGGCATTCACATTCATCTGTCAGTTTACGTTATGTAGGTTTGTATCTGTTTTAACTGAGATCTGTTGGCTTCACACATATTAAAGGAGAATGTGGTAATAATATGAAGAACATGTTATAAGGGGAAGATATTGACCAAACACCTATTGCTATTGAACATAAAGCCTTTTAAATAAAAGTACGACATAATCTTACAAAATTATGCTAGTTGTTATTCACACATTATTTCCATTTGCTTTACCCTTAATGTCTGTATCTTTATTTATAAAATAGTGTTCATTGTATTGCAGCGTAAAAAGCTTTTTAAAATTCTGATCTGATTAAATGGTTGTAGATATTATGCTGTACGAAAGCCTTTCCCGTCTTTTATGCTTCAACTGAATTCCAATAAGATGTCAGGATTCTGTTTTTTGTCCATTTCTGATGAGCAAAGGATCTTCATGGGGAATACTGCATAACCTCAGTTGTGTCACATATCAACATTTCTCAAGGAAAGAAAATGTATAATACCCTCAAATCAATTTTCTGTTTCTTAACACATTTAACGAGTGATACAAAATCTTCAAACATGTCTTTAGGAGAGAATGAAGACCCTAGTGCCCCTGCTGCCAGCCCTATCCCAGAGAGGTGAAGAAATCCTACATTTTGAGCAAATTAAAATTATGTTCTCATTTTCAAAGTCTTAAGAAACTGCGGGCATTTGTTTGGAATTGCAGGCAAACCTGGGACATCCAGCAAAGCGATATGTCAAGAGATTACAACAAAG